CACAAAGAGAATAACTTCCAGGAATACCCCTAACCCTCCCTCTGCTGACGTATGAGGCCAGATGTACTAAAATATGAACTGTCACCAGCACCAGAAGTTGAGGGGTGGTGGAGGAAAAACAAGGTTAAAAACGTATGGGGGCCAGAAGTATGGAAAATTCTCTATGGAAAATTCTCCCCATCATCAATGTACTATAAATGCAAGCAAAGGATTTTGTTCTTGTCAATGGCTCATCAAAATGAAAACGTCTCCAGGCAGGAATTGTGGTGCATTGAAGAGGACTGTAATTCTTTGTCACTCCTTCCAGTAAGCAGTGCTGTCTGTTTCACCTCCCCTTGAATCTGGGCTAATCCTGTGATTTGCTTTGACCAACAGAATATGGTAGAACGATGCTGGGTAACTTCCAAACCTGGATCTTAGGAAATACAAAGCTTTCCACTGTTGCACACTCAGGCATGCTCCATCATGGAATCCAGATGCCATGCTTTTAGGACTCTAATCCAGGAGGAAAGGCCATGTGCAGGAGAACCCAGTCACCCCGTTAATAGCCAGCAACAACTGCCAGGCATGCAATGAGCCATCACGATGTTCCAGCCCAGTGGAGTGCTACACTTAGCATATGATCCACCAAGCTAAGCTTAGTCAACATCACGCAGTAACATTTGGCTGGTGTTTAAAATTATGAGTTTCAGAATAATTTGTTACTCAGCAATAGATAGGACAGATTTGGCTATATTTATAGAGCTAAGAGGAAGGAAGGAGTTCAGTGAGAGTAAAAGGTCCAGCAGAAAGGGGAGGTAGTTTAGCACATCTTTGAATAAGTCAATAATGAATTGATCAAGGATGCAAATTGAGGTACTGGTTTTGGGTAGAAGGCAGGCAACTTGATTCCATGAGAGTGGAGAAAATGGAGTCAGCAAGGGTGATGTGATGTTACTCGGCTTAGTAAATCTTTTAAAGAAGAATACTCAAAATAAGTTTATTCTTTGGCCAAGCAAGTAAGTATTGCATGAATATTTTTTAAGTTTTAATTTTAAATTTTAATTTTTTTTTTATTTTTTTTTTTTTAGCAATTTCTATACCCACCATGGGGCTCTAACTCACAACTCTGAGATCGAGTTGCACGCTTCCAGCTGAGTCAGCCAGGCACCTCTACTGCATGAATTTAACTGGAATAAGGAACATAGAATTTAATTCCCAATTTAAAAACAATGAGACCAGAAAGAAGACAATATCCTAAAGTTGGTAGAATTGTTTTGACTGATTAAAATTTCTCAAACTCTTAAATTGACTTCCATGGAACACTTTGAGTGACGTGTTATATAGATCTTTTTTTTTTTAATTAAAAAAAATATATTTTTTAATGTTTATTAATTTTTTGAGAGAGAGACAGACAGACTATGAGTGGGCAGGGGCAGGGAGAGGGAGGAGACACAGAATCCGAAGCAGGCTCCAGGCTCTGAGCTGTCAGCACAGACTCCGACACGGGACTGGAACCCATGAACCCCGAGATCATGACCTGGGCTTAACTGACTGAACCTCCCAGGCACTCCTATAGATCATTCTTTTAGGGCAGTTTACAACAGTTTATTTAAAAACCTCAGTCAATATTTGTTAAGAAAAATACAGAAAGGACCCAAGCTATGAAAGAAATTGAAAAAAAAAAAAAAAACCCACAAACCCAAACTGCACTTTATCTGATGTGATATAATGTATGCAGGGTCTGGGAGTGAACGGTGAAGAAAGAATTCTTGAGACGTCCTTGGTGCAGAAAAGTTGGTTTTATTAAAACATGAGACAGGACCCGTGGGCAGAAAGAGCTGCACTGGGGTTGTGAGGAGTGACTACTTTTAAGTTGGGAGGGGTTTAGGGATAGCAAAAGTCCCTAAGGAATTTGGAAGCAAGGTTTCCAGGAATGTAAGGGGCTAGCTGCTGTTAGTAAAACGTCATTTACTACTGTCTAGTAAAACCTTAGTCATGGGAACTTCAGATCTGTATCAAGGGACCAAATGTTTGGAGGATGATTGTCAACATATATTTTGGGGGGTGGGGATGAGGGTAGAGATAAAGGAAGTTTCCGAAGGGATTTTCATATGTTAAAGGAGACTTACAGGATCCTGGAGGCTGGCTAATGTCAAGCTAAGGTTGCCTTTTGCCTCTGGCAAAATATCAACATAGAGGCAGTTGTCAATTTTTCTTGGCGAGCATTTATTTATTCAAAAACACTTTTCAAAAGTCCACCATGTGTTCTGTTCTAACTGCTGAGGAAATAGAACTGGACAAGACAAAGTCCCTGCCTTCATGGAGCTTAAATTTAAATATGGGGAAAACAGAAAACAAACACATAATCAAATAGTGAGAATTGCAGACAGAGGACTAAACTACAAACCGGAGCAACAAACAGAAATCAGAGGGGGCTAGAGAATATGGGTGGTGACTGGAGAGGCTGGGTCTAGTTTGGGCAGTCTCTCCAGAAGGTGGAGCTATCTCAAATGCCACCAAGGAGCCAGCCCTGAGAAAATCTGAGGGAGGGGCCTTCCAAACAAGACACACAAAAAAATGCCAGCAGCCTCTCTAATGACACAAGATACTGGTTCTAAAGTGACAGACAGGGCTACGTGGCCCACGTATGCCTACTAGAAAACATATTTACGTTTCTGATCTCCGAGATTTGGGGAATCTGGTACTGGTATAAACATCTTCTAGATGTTTAAATACAGGATCTATTGGAAAACATGTTAAAAAAAATAGTGGGAGATTAAAGAAATGAAAATCACAGAAACAACAATATTAAAACACATAAAGTACATCTTTCATGCTCCAAAGGAGAATTGTTGGAACTGTTAGTGGATCTCTCCAGCCAAACATAGCCATCCAGCAGAGGTTTTGTGGAGAATGAAAGATTGAGTTGAATAACTGAATAGAAAAATATAATTTATACACACATGTGACCGTTTAGAATAGGAACAATTCACTTTGAAAAAAAGTTTTGAACATTCCTATGACGTTGATATCAACTAAGCGTAATAAACTCATGTGTGAAATTATTAGATATGCTTGTAATGTCAGGGTCAATTTGAAAACTTGCCTCTAGTAATACTGGTACATCTCCAGTGATATTGATACATCTGTGGATTGAATTCCAATCCAAATTCATTTGCCCTAAGATCATCCCTTTCTAATACGTGTATTGAAAGACCCAAAATAGCCCCAGGGTCTGCCTCACTTTTAAGAATATTCTAGCCAGACCAAGGCAGGTTTCCCCGATATGAGCAGTACATACTGTATCCAGACAAGAATCGATTGTCATCAAGGAGGCCACTGAACTACCTCTCAGTGATTCAAAGGCAGCTGGAGGATTCTGACCGGCAGGAGATTTGAGCAGAGCTGTGGCTAGGGATCTGAGATACAGAGACAGAGATGGGAACCAGAAAGGGAGACAAAAAGTGAAAGAGGCACATTCCCAGATGGAGCCATTTTATTTCCAAACTTGAGTCAAAACAGATACAGGCTTTCCTATCTCCACACTGGATTTTCGTCTTATAAAATAGATTTGCTACCAAAATCCTTCATAAAATCTGCCTTGCCCTTGGCAGTGGGAAATAAGCAAAAAGTCAAAAGTTAAAAGGTCATGCATAAAATATCATAGCCACCAAGAGAATGATACAATAGTCTCAAATTCTTCACAAATCAATGATAAAACATTAAGACTGATTTACACTTCACTATATTTGTAGCGCTTCAAGATTTTTTTCTTCATATATTTATGTTCATATTTCACAAACAACATTACAAAAAGACTATCAACTTTTCAATAAAATAGAAAAACAAAACAAAGCCATCACACTATAAAAAAAAATCAACCTGCAGAACATAAGCTTTTTTATTTAAGAACAAAAATTAAAAGAAAGCGAACTCACCCCAAACTAAAATATCTTCACCAAAAACTCTGTAGTCTTTCCAAAGGAGTTCTTAACGCTCAGATTTTTGGTTGGTTTAGCCTCTCTTGTATGTACTGGTTTTTGTGTATCCTGATTCCCAGCTGTTATTCCAGGGAGAATTTCAAGAAAGAACTTCAAGCAAGGTCTGGGGTGGGATCCAGTGCAAGTCATTAGGCAAATCATTCACACATAAAAGCTTTAATGAAACTCACGTGTTTCATTAGAAACAGTGGTTGACCCTTTTTCTTTTACTCCCTTTTCATCCAAGAGAACCCTTTAAAGGTCTAGAATCATTTGTTGTCTGTAACTATGGCAGCATTTGGCTCATAATTCTGGGTGAAAATATGCCATTTTAAGAAACTCTGCACATGTATTATATTTTCTTTGCTTTCTTAGAGGTAGATAACCTCAAACTAAGGTCCAAACATTGGTCCCTTCAAATGATGTAAGAAAACAATAGTATTAAATGAGAGTAGCTGTCAAAGAGGAAGAACTAAAATCCTGTTGTTTTTTTTTTTTAGGAAAAAAAATCTTTAATGATGTTTGTCTGTGTATATATGGAAAAATGACCTACCAAAACCCCCCCCAAAAAAACAAAACAACCCAAAACACCGTAGAAGAAGCCAATACAATTTGCCAGTCCAACCAAATGGTTGGAATTGACTATTGGAAGACACCTTGCAGATTAAGTAATTCAAATCTCTGACTTTAGAGGAAAGGGAAAAGAGGCTCAGAGACAGTAAATAACTTGTGTCTGTCCATTAGCATGTTAATTTGCATGATTATTTTTATACACATACAGGCACACACACATACACACACTGTTGTATTTACATCTGTTTTGTACATAACAATGCTACTGGCTTGTACAATAAATGAAAAATAAGGGGTGCCTGGGTGGCTCATCAGTTAAGCGTCCGACTTCAGCTCAGGTCACGATCTCCCGGTTAGCAAGTTCGAGCCCTGCATCGGGCTCTGTGCTGACAGCTCAAAGCCTGGAGCCTGCTTCAGGTTCTGTGTGTCCCTCTCACTTTGCCCCTCCCCTGCTTGTGCTCTCTCTCAAAAATAAGTAAACATTTAAAACATTTTTAATAAAAAAAAAAGAAAAAGAAGGGTGTACACTTTCACTTATTTCTTTGCCAGAAGTAGGAAATGCCCATCTTTCAAATGAGTGAAAAGGTTCCTCTTCCTCTCCACTGATGAACTGGCTGTATCATGACCTGGCCTTGGCAGTCCCTGCAAAGAGCAGGGTGGGGGCAGTGGTAAAAGTGGCAGGAAGGAGGGCAGAGGCACTCAAACCACAACTGGAGTCCCTTGCTATGCCGAAGATGTTCCCACTGGCAGTGAAGGCTTTACACAAAGTCAAGCTTGGGCTATTGTAACTCCTAGACCAGGCTGGAAGGAGACAGAAAAGAGGTGAAGGAACCAGGTATGCATCACCCTGGAGAATATGAGCTAGCGTTCCTCTCACCACAAAGGGCAGAATTGAGCAGTGTGTGTCTTACCTAAATTCTCCAACTGTCAACTTAGATGAATTTACTAAGTGTAGTCACAGTTTCTAATTACTTTAATTTGTATATGCATAGAGACATCAAAATATTTAAGCCTAATGTACAGTAGTATTAATAGCTACTTTACCTCTTTCCATAAAATTACATGTGGATATAATTCTAAGGTAGTTTCTTAAAAAATATCGTTATTTTTAGTATTCATCATAGATGTTATTCTGAAAAATCTTAAGTCGAGCTGTATATATTAACATTAAATAACTTAAAAAAATAAACAATACATTTCATATATATATATGGTTATATATATATACCAAATATATATATATAATACCATATATATGGTATTATATATATATATACCAAAATAGCCCCATTTTAAAGCCATGTAAGTGAAAAAGTTGAGTTTTCAAGAATAAACTAGACCTTCTAAAGGTATTTTTTCATAATTTCAATATTAAATGTATCTTCTTTTCTGACTATGCCAAAAATATACACACTGCTCTTGGTAATTTATGTCAGAAGTATTCATTATGAAAATAAATAAGTTAGTTCATTTGTCTGTTTTCACTTGTTTCTGTAATGACAAATTTATCCTAAATCTAAATGAATTTGCTCCCAAAAGATCTCCCCTATGGAGACAGCATAACCAAAAAACTTTACAATGTACAGATATCCACTACATGCAATCGTATATTTTCTAATAATAGTGGTAGAAAGTAACCTTCAAGTATCGTCATCATCCAACTGGACTTACAGAGAGCTATCCCATAAAATTAACACTCTAAAGGAAGAAAGTTATTTGAGAAATTTGTCCTTGCTAGAACACCTTTGTTGAAATTCCCATAGGAAACAAAACCATCTATCCATAAAGCACAGAGGGCGTTTGGTATCTAACACTGACCTTAATGTGCACACAAGTAACACTGCTCTGAATGTAAAGTAAACTCTACAAGCTAAAGAAGAGCCCACATATGCCACCCACAGCTGGAAGAATTTCTTCTGGAAAGAATTCCTTGACGAAGACAGAACGCAAAGCTATTTCAGCTCCTAGTCCTGCTTTCTGTAGCCGTGAGTATTGGTGGTAGTTTGGCTAAAAACAAAACAAAACAAAACAAAACAAAACAAAACAAAACACAAAAAACAAACAAGAACAGAAAGACTGGTCCACTTGGAGAACCAGATTTAGACATTTTGTACTTACGTTAGTCAAACACATTTTTCAAAAATTAAATTAACATAAAGTCTGCAGGGAATGGAGATTCCATAACTCACAAGTAACAAGGGGAAAGTAATCAACTAAAAAGTGCATCTCTTTCCAAAGCAGGTGCAGGAGGTCAAGATTCTGGAAATTTTCCTCTTTCACAGGTTTTGATCCAGCCACTTGATGTAACTATTCCTAGTCCGGATTCCCACTGAGAAGTTGGTGGGCCAGCTGGTGAAAATCATGCATCCATGGAAGCCATCCTCAAAGTGATCCAGGGTCACCTCCACACCTGCACTCTCCAGACGCTTTGCATACATGATCCCATCGTCTCTTAGGACATCATGCTCACACGTCAGAATATAGGTCTTTGGGAGGTGCCGTAGGACTTCCTGGTCTGCAATGAGCGGGGCCGAGCGAGCATCCAACAGCTGAGGGATTTCCCTCAGAATCCTGGCGTTGCCGGTGGTCTGCACCACAGGCTTGTAGTCCTTTGTGATGGATGCAGGCAAGAGGGACGTCCAGTTTAGACGGGCCCTGAGGGCAACTGCCTCTTCCACGTCCATCGAAGTGTGGTTGTTAACAATCATCGCCTGGACAAAGTCATAGTTGCCTTTGAAGTAGTCCACCCAGTACTTCACCATGACGTAGCGGGGCAGGATTGGGGTGTTCACATTTTGCTGGTAAGAGGGCGTGTTGAAATCTAAAGCTTGAAGAACTGGATAAATTAAAGCTTGCACTTTGAGCTTGTTTTTGAGGTTGGCATCTTGAGTAAACTGGAGAAGAGGAAGCAGACACATTATTTCCTGCTGCATGGCTCTTTGTATGGAAACCACACCTTTTAAAGTAGCTGAATGCATTACCTGGAAACAGTCAAAAGGTTCTAACTAGGAAATTTCTACCAGACATGGTATTAAGTAATACGGTTTATAAAATAAAAACTTCCCCACCACCCACCACCAGCACCACTCCCCACACATGCATCAAACTGCTGGATGTTTACTAAGAAAGTTATGATGTTTGCAACCCATGTTTTTAGTGAACACTGCAAATGCATGTGATCTCTTAGGTCTTTAACCCCCCGTGAACACTTCACTTGTATCTATCCTTCGGCACTAGCACACCTTGCTGGGTACTATGGATGGATGACATGAGAACTTTTCTTAGTTCACTATTCTGTGCAAAGTGAAAAAAGGCAATGGCTTTCTAGGGAGAAACAAACTAGTCTAACTCTTCCAGAGGAGAAGGGTAGGAAAAGCTAAATGAACAGATGATGGGACTCCAAAGTGTTATAGCAGGACCTCAGGATATCTCCTCTGATGAGCATTTAGTCTTCATGCTGCATAAGTGAGAATTTAAATAGTGCTGGCAACATGCCCTCCATTCTCCTTAATGAGCATGTGCCCCAGAGTTGAGGTTAAATGGGAATGTGAACGCATCCTCTACCTCATCAGATCTCCATCCCCCCATGCCTTCACAAAATGTGAACACACTGCCTCATTTTCCAGTCCTAGGGTCCAAAATGGTATACATTTGCATGTAACATCTAAAAGGCAGCTAACTAGGTCACTGGGTTTTATAGGCAACTAAACAACCTTCAAGGTCACTTTAGCTGTACAATTTTGTTTCACGTCAGAGTTTAGAACCCCATCCCCCAGGGAAGATAAAACTGCTCTGTAAAAGCAAAAGGAAATGATCAGTTAATAGTACTATTAATATGTGCCAGGAATTGCATATACATCATTTCACTAAGTCCCAGCAATAGTCCTGCAATCAGATGGCATTATCCTCATTTTCCTGAGAGTCAGAGATATTCAGGGGCTTGCCTGAAGCCCTGTAGCTTCCAAAGCAGGGAGACTGGATTCCATTCCACTGCTAATTTTAAAGCCCATGATCCTCTCCCCACTGCACCAGGACTTTCTTCTTACCACATCAGAACACATGTATACCAAACCCATCAGTGCCCACCGAAGTTCTCTATGTACTGCAATTTGAGAATACCAAAAGAAATCTGGAGATGAGAAGACAGAGATGCTCTTCTAAACTTGTTTAATCCATCAGAGGAAGAAAATATACTTATCTTTGAATTTACACAGCCGCCCAAAATTTTGGGTGCTATTAGAGCTAGATAGTTTTAACCAGAGAATTTAACCAGGTAAGCTCAGGTTAACTGGTATTATATTCGAGCCACACTCGAAGTGGCTGACCCATTTTAATTTTTTTTCTTTTAGATTTTAAAAAATGTTGGGAACACTTTTTAGCTTTTCAGTTTGACTCAAAGTTCTAAGGAAACAATCTTAGCAACTGGAATTTAAGCAAAAATATTTTGCAAGTCCAATATGGAAAAGAAGCTGGAGATACTTGATTTCCATGCATATTGCTGGGGAGCAAGAGAGCCCTATAAACTGTTAGCCCATCTTTCATATTAATTGTAATCAGGGACTTTCCAAGGACTCAGAGGTGACATCTCTTTCAATTACCCCTCTTGCTACTTCAGAAAGATCCGAGAATTCTCCCAGCGCAGTCATCTGAATAACTTGGCCCCATACTGACCAGCCTACCTGCTAAGCCTTTGCCATACATAGCGAAGAATATGTGTGTAGGTCTGCAGGTTAGCAAGAATCCTCTTACCACCAGCCTGTCATGGCAATCTGTTACCTGTTGGCCCAGAGCAGCGGCCAAATTCCCACCAGCACTGTCACCAGAAATGCCAATTCTGCCCGGGTCAACCGAATACTTGTGTAAGACTTCTGGCTGCAGAAAATACTTCGTGGCACGTACAACATCATGAATTTGTGCAGGAAAATAAACCTTTGGAACTAGCCTGTATCTGTGAAGACAAAAGTTGTATTCATTTAAGGACTTCACCAAGTCTTTATAGGCCCTTTAAAGTTTATGGGGAAGCTGGTTCTTTTGACACAGAAGTAAACAGGTAAGGATTGAAATAAATATAAAAATGAACCATTCATTTTCTTTTAAAAAAAAAAAAGTTTATTTTGAGAGAGAGAGAGGGTTGGGGGGGTGGAAGCATGAGTGGGGGAGGGGCAGAGAGAGAGAAGGAGAGAGAATCCAAGCAGGCTCTGGGCTGACAGCTCACGAACCGTGAGATCATGACCTGAGCCAAAATCAACAGTTGGATGCTTGACCAACTGAGCCACCCAAGCGCCCCTGAGCCATTCATTTTCTTGCAAATCAAATAGTTTAAAAATGTAATGATTTGGGGGTATCTGGATGGCTCAGTCGGTTAAGCATCCGACTTTGGCTCAAGTCATGATCTCACAATTCGTAAGTTTAGCTCTGCATCAGGCTCTGTGCTGACAGCTCAGGGCCTGGAGCCTGCTTCGGATTCTGTGTCTCCCTCTCTCTCTGCCCCTCCTCTGCTCACACTCTGTCTATCCCTCTCTCAAAAATAAATAAACATTAAAGAAAAAGGGATTAAAAATGTAATGATTTTGTATTAACAATAATCTTTCCCCCCTTTTTTATCATCAGCCATGAAACACAACTTCAAAGTTAAAGGTGGATGTTGATTATTAAGATATGGGTAGAACCATAACAGATTTGGGAATTTTATTTCTGGAAATCAGTGTTCAATTCACGACACTTATGGATTAGAAGGTGACTTGGCAACATCAACCACTTCATTGATCTCCTGTTTAATGACTCCATATGAGATCCTTCATGATTTACTTGAGAAACATAGCAAAATTGTGTCAGATACCCCATCCATGATAACATCTTACAAATCCATAGTTGTTTGTAGTCTCTGCTTGGAGTGCCCTCTCGGCCTCCTCCTTCTTTCCCTATTAATTCTCACTCAGCCTTTAAGCCTTACTCATGGGTTTAGACTCCTCCAGGTAGATTTCCTTGACTATAATAACTCCACTTGCTTCTGGGGCTGAGCTGGATGCCTTTCCTTGATCCTTCTATGTGCTGGAGTATATTACTGTTCTTACTGCCTCATCTTAAAATGATTTATGTGTTTCCTCTGAAGAGTATGTTCTCTGAAATCAGGACTATGTTTTATTCATCGCTGTGTTCCCAGTATCTATCAATGTGCTAGGCACATAATCATCCATCCAGTAAACCCTTTTATTAACATACCTTCCTTTTGCAGACAAAAGAAACTGGGGCACCAAAAAGTTACTTTATTTGTAAAATAAGTCAAACACAGATAAAAACAAGGTGGAATAGAAACTAAGTACTTAATTAAAATCTAGTAATATTAAGAATTCAGGTCTCGGGGTGCTTGGGTGGCTCAGGCAGTTAAGCGTCCTACTCTTGACCTTGGCTCAGGTCATGATCTCACAGTTCATGGGTTCAAGCCCCATGTCGGACTCTGCACTGATGGTGTTGTGCCTGGTTGGAATTCTCTCTCCCTCTCTCTGCCCCTCCTCTGATCGTGCTCTCTCTCTTCAAAGAAATAAACAAACAAGCAAACAAACAACTCAGGTCTTTTCATTTTCATTTTATAATTAACATACCTATTCTTAGAAACTTATTTTCTCCCATCTAAAATCCAGCTAATTATCTTGCCATTCAATGCAAATACAATCAAATGAACAAACATTTGTGAAATACTCTGAGAAGTAGTGAATATTGATTACTGCATTTTAAAAGTCCTAAATGTAACATTCCTTCAGTGGTTACCTTATAACAGATAAAATAATTTTTCTAATTTCTTTTTTATTTTCCTATCTGTGGTGATCATTTAATCATCCAAAATGTTTTTTGTCCCATTGAATTTCATTATGCCCTAAAGTGGCTGCTATGCTATATAGTACTACTATCCTACTGATCAATGAGTGAAAGGAGTAGGATTATACAATTGTGTCCACTAGATGGCGCCATCTTATATGATTCCATTTACCCCCAGTTTTAGGACTTGATCTCAATTTGAACTTCAGTTTACCAAGCTGAATTCTTAATTCTTTCAATGAAATAAAAACACATGTCCTTCATGAGTCAAGTTGTGAGAATAAGGGCTATTTTGTCTCAGCAAGATTCCATATATCATAATAAACTGTTTTCCTGGTAGCCCAATATGACAGAGCATATTCTACCAGTACACATACATGAATTGAATCTTCAGATGTTATTTCCCAAAAGGTCTAGTGACTTTGAATCAAGAGAAATTGGTGGGACACCTGAGTGGCTCAGCTGGTTAAGCATCTGACTCTTGATTTCAGCTCAGGTCACGATCTCACAGTTCTCGAGTGCACACCTGCTTGAGATTCCCCCTCTTTCTCTTTGGCTCCCCTACTCACACTCTGTCCCTCTCAAAATAAATAAATAAACTTTAAAAAAAAAAAAAAGAAATTTCTAATTAAGAAAAAAGATACCCTGCTACTGCCACAATCTTATCAGTTGATTAATAACTGGCTCAGATAACAGAGTAAACACACTTAAAAAAAAAAAATAGATTATAATACAAGCGTCTTCCTGGTGCCCTTAAAGATCTACCTCCTAAACCCTTCTCTTTGTTCAAGCTGAAAACTTTCTCTAATTTTATTCAATAAAAAGGGACACTATTTTCATAGATTTGAAAATATAGTGAAACTATACATTTCTGAGGTCACCTAGTTCAAGATAAGCCTTGAAAGTAACTTGAATTTGACCTGAGAAGTATAATAAAAGTTCTGTAATATTTTTGTAGCCACAGAACACTCAAGAGTCAGAAGAAAATTTATGAGTGCTATAGCCAAAGAAAGCAAGTATAAATGTATTTGTCTGCAGCTTTTGTTTAAAGATAGGTCTCTGCAAAGTACTGAAAGGATTCTGACTTTTTTTAATTTCACAATTATAGATCTTGAGTTAAAGCACCTGATGAATTTATGGCAGATATAGTCACAATTTGCCCAGCTCACTGCAGGGATAGATGACTCTGCAGTGCTGGCTTCTGCCTATCTGTTAACTGCACATGCCTCCTGCTATAGAAATACAAAATTTGCTTGTAAACTCAGGAATGAAGCTTAATCAGTTTAACAAATGTGTACACTCTATAAAAATTATCTTATTTCTGCTAGGTGAGGCACCCGCCAAATATGCTACATATGTGTTTCACTCAAATTGCAGGGCAAACCCGTGGGTTTAAGAATGAGAACATGATGGGGGCACCTGGGCGGCTCAGTCTATTAAGTGTCCAACTTCAGCTCAGGTCATGATCTCATGGTTCGTGGGTTCGAGCCCCGTGTTGGGCTCTGTGCTGACAGCTCAGAGCCTGGAGCCTGCTTCAGATTCTGTGTCTCCCTCTCTCTCTGCCCCTCCCTTGCTCATGCTCTGCCTCTCTCAATAAATAAATAAACATTTAAAAAATAAAAAAAAAAAGAAAGAAAGAAAAGAATGAGAACATGAGGCTCCAGGAGGATGTATAACTTGTCTACAACAGCTGATAAGTGGCAAAGCCGCGTGGTGAATTCACCACTGACTTCAAAACCCACATGTAACCCCTGCCTTAAAAAATATTCTTATTCTTGAAAATCCACAGCCTTTTAAATGTGTGTCTGTGTGTTTTCTCAAGACCTCATCAAAGCAGTAAATTCTCAGAACTATAGACTTCTGACATCCCAGGACACCCCTTATGATTTCAATGGTTTTGCAAAAATATTCTCAAACAAACCACCTAGCACAGTGCCTGACATGTGGTGCATCTTTATGAACATACTTTTATTTCTTCCAAACAAAACTTTAAAGATATATTTCACACTTTTACATATAAAATAGGTCATATGGCACCACCTGTGGCGAGGAAAGTGATAAGCCATATGGCTTTAAAAAAAAACATAAAAAAAAGAAATTGTTCCTAACCTACCTACTCTGGGGGCACATCGTCAAGGCCTCTACTTCCTGTATTCTATGCGTAGTTCAGAGTTTCTCAACTCAGCATGCATCCTAGGATAATCCTGGGAGTTTTACAAAAACATTGAGGCCTGAGGCCATCTATGAAACATTCCAAAGTATTTGGTCTGGGGTGGAGCCTAGCATGTCTATATTTGAAGGAAAATCCTCCCTCCACCGCCCGCCCCCAATAATTCTAACGCACAGCCAAACTTGAGAAATATCACTGAGTCCAACCCATACAGTCACTGTTCTCCGAACACATCTGCCTGTTGCCTTCCCCAGTGCTTTGGTCTCTATTCTCTCTGCCCTTCCCCCAGCAACTCATCAAATGTTCCGATCCTGTAAATTTAATCTCAAATGCCACTTCTTTCATGAAACCCTCTCCGAGTCCAGCCAAAAGTCACTCTCCTTCCTTGGAGCTCTCAAAGTCGAACAATAGGTCATAGTACAGACACCTCTATTTCCTCTAGAAGTAGATGGAAAGTCATAATTATGTACTAAAGACTCTGACGTACACGTACCTAAGATAAGCAGTATCATGCCTCTGGTCTGTTACTTTGTTACCTACTTTATTCAGGGTACCAGGGAAATGGAGAGATGCTCAGAAAGACTTACAAGGTCTTTCTTAAGTCCAAAGCAGACATGCACACAAGCCCAGAGTGGGGGGAGTTGATCCAAACCCACTGAAGTTGAAGTCCTGAATGACACTAGTATTCTATGAGCATTGTGATACACGTTGTCCCTCAAAATAACCTCACCTGGCAACAGTGTGTACAAACTTGAGCGCAGGCAAGGACACTGAGGTTGCTTCATCCAGTGCCACTTAGGTGAAAGATACAGGAGATATACTGGAATGAAATTATACTCCTTTAGATTCAGTAGGATTAAAATAAAATCTCCTTCCTTTTTTTCTTTTTTGGCTTCCCCACGCTCCCTCTTACCAGCTCCTGAGAAGAGTTCAATAGATTCACCTTGAGAACATAAAAAGGT